GGGCTCAGGCAATCCACTCACCTCAGTCTCCCAAAGGGGCGGGATTACAGGCTGAGCCACGGAGCCCGGCTGAACGTCCCCATTTCTAAGAGTTTACAGCTCGGTGCAGTGGCTCACGCCTGTAATCCCAGCACTTTGGGAAGCTTAGGTGGGGGGACTGCTTGAGCCCAGGAGTTGGACACCAGCCTGGGTAACATACAGTGAGACTTTGTCTCTATAAAAATCAAACAATTAGCCCAGTGTGGTGGCCCATGCCTGTAGTACCAGCTACTTGGGAGGCTGAGGCAGAAGGATTGCCTGAGCCCAAGAGGTCAAGGCGGCGGTGAGCCGTGATTGTGCCACTGCACTCCAGCCTGGGCAACAGAATGAGACCCCAGCTCAAAAATAAATAAATAAAAATAAGAGAGTTTCAGGGGGCATGGCAGGGATAAATTGTGTAAATTGTTTAATGTGCACGGTGTCTGTCCCATTGGACAGTGGCGGGTCCTGACTGCCCTTGCTTAAGACTCCACTCGTGAGCAAGCGCTTGCTAATCTCCTCCTTAATCCCTCTGATGGGCTTTTTGCATTTAGGAGCAGAGACTCTGCTGAGCTCAGATCTGAGAAGGGAGGAGGAGCTGGAGGAGAATGGGGGGGGTCATGTAAACCAGGCAACAACCTCTCTGCCAGCCTGAGCCCTGCACACTCACCTGGCACAGAGGTGCCGAATGCCACGAACACCACGGCAGTGACCGAGTCCTTGAGGCCAATGGTGCAGCCGAAGTGCGAGGCCAGGTCCCCGATGACGGCAGTGAGCATGCCGATGATGAGGATGGACACGGTGAAACAGGCCCAGCCGTGGCAGTACTCTGTGGGCGGCACGCAGGCGAACAGCACCTTCCAGAAGACCGTCAGGAAGTGCATGACATAGTCGAAGCAGGACGGCAGCCTCTCCTCCCCCGATTCATCCTCGTCCTCATCCCCTGCTGGAGGTGAGACACGGGGCAGCGATTTCAGAGTACCACTCCAGAGAAAGTCTTCTGGAAAACTGGTCAGGGCGCCTCCTCAGTCCATTTGACTGCAGGGCCCGGAGGAAGAGCGGGGGAGGGAGGAAGCGAGAGAGTGAGACTGAGGACTGGACAGGTGGAGGAGGAGGTGAGGGGGTGGGCAGGCTGCACTGCGTGGTCGAGGTGAGGCACAGAAAAGCCAGTCAGCTGGGTGCGCCTGCTCCTTGCTGGGTGCTTGCAGGGCTGCCCTTGCATTTTCCAACCTGACTGCTACAATGACCATTGTGGTTCTGGCCATTATCTGTCTGCAGAAGGACGGCTGTCATTCACGATCATGCCCGATACCAGAGAGCCAGCGCCGTCCTCCAAATATCCCACAGGACAGGGCAGGGTGGGCACCACCTGTCCTTGCCAAGGAGTGTGGGCAGAGTTGCCCACTCAGTGGCCTGGGAGGAGAGGACCACAGAGGCACATGAGAGCCTTGTTGAGGTCAACCTCAGCTGTGCCACAGCAGAACTGGCAGGCACTGAGTTTCAAGCCAGCAGGAGCTGGGATTCTGGGGTTCTGACTACAGCTCTGCCAGGAAGAAGGGCTGTAGGTCGGGGCACATGATCCCTCATGCCTGAGCCTCGGCCCCCAGGCTTGTAAAGGAGGGGTACATGGTGCAACCCACATTCTGTTGACTGCCTCAAGGGGCACGGCAGGTCATCGGAAGGGGAACCAGAGGGATTTGAGGGGGGTGGTGAGGATAGTGGGCAGCTGCAGCAGACTGCCCTTCCTGGCTACGCTTTTGCTCTGGCTCTGGGACCTCGGGGAGATGGCCTGTGGGTTGTCATGACAACATAGCCTCACGAAGAAGGGCCAGGTCAGTGGAGCCTGGTGTCGAGAAGCGGGACTGGTGGGGGCTGGGTGGCCCTTTCCGCCCCCACTCCCACATACCCGCAGGTGCTGGGGCTGTGGCCCAGCTGTGGGTCACAATGGGGGGACCCGCTGGTAAGTGCCAAGAAGCAATCTGCAGTCCCCTGGGGTGGAGATTTGTCAGAGTTCATGAAAAACGTTTTGCAAACTCCCGCCCCTCCCCCATGTCTCGAAGTCACTATCGGTTCTGCTTTACAGAAAAGGGGGGCCGCATTGATGAGAGGAAGGGATGATGGACACTGGAATTTGCTGTGTTTTGGACAAGATCCCAAGTCTTTCTGCCTTTCTGAGAAAGGTTACCATAGCTCCCTCTGAAATGAGGATGCTGAGGCCAGAGAAGACACACTGCTCAGTTCACACCTGGAAGCGGGATGTGAGCCAGGGCCCTCAGCGGCACCATGGTTCCTCTCCAAAGCCTCAAGGGGCACGACACTCTCAATGCAGCTGGCCCCTGCTTCTCCTTACCTGCACTGACCGTGATGGCTTCCATGAACTGGTCCCTCCAGGAGTGTGTCCCCACCACCAAGGCCAGGTTCGTCTTCTTAATCAGTTTGTCCACCGTTGTCTGTCAGGGAGAGAAAAGCTTGCAGCCATGAGGTTAACTGCCTGGACCCAGCAAGGCGTCTGGTGCATTGAAAGGATGGAAGGGAACTTCCCTGCCTTCCGGGGTTCTGAATGTCAAGGGTGGAGTGGCCTTGGGTGCTATCTTGTGGGACAGTCCTATCTCCCTCTTTCTGGCTGTGACTTCTGACACTGGGTACTTAGAGCAATGCAACAGAGAATAATGACAATAATGTCAACACACCACCTCCCACAGTGGGGAGTTCTGGTATGTGTGTTTTAAACATACAAAGAACAGTGATGCTACTGTCTAGGGATGTTCTAGCCTGTTTATTCTGTGTCCCATGTTATGTGTCCTCACAATACTCCTGGCATACATATGGCTGGCACTATCTGTTCCACGTTACAAGTGGGGAAACTGAGACATGGGGTGGGTAAGTGATTTGTTCAGTTTCATCGTCACATATTCAGTGGTGAGATTGGAAACAAACAGACCCAGGCCTTCTTCCCCCCACCCTAATTCATTTACCATTCAATTAGACCTCATGGATGGCCTAACCTTGAACTCATAGGACTCTTCAATGATGACCTCTAGTTTGGGGTGTTCACCCAGCACTGGCTTCCCCATCTCTGCTACCCTCTTGGCCTCCTCTTCTTCCACCGTCAGCTTCCTGTCTGTTATCTCTGCAACAAAACAAAATCAAACTCGCTTCAGCACCCTATCCATTCCCCAGACATCTACGGCTCAGCATACTAGGTGTGGGCAGTGGGCACAAGGCGTAAAGCTATCGGGAACGGGGACTCTGTGCATTTTTGAGTGCCTCTTTTTTATGCAGTGCAGGACACTCTGTCACCCTCTCCGTCTCTATATGGATCCACCCCAAGGATCTCCTGAGAAACAACACTGAGGAGGCCCCCAAGAGACATTGGGGAGCTGGGAAGAAAAGCTGCATGTCTTGACCCGGAACTGTTTTTCACTGGTAGACCTGTTTGCTCAACGTCTTCCTGTAAGTGTTCTCGAAGGTGCTGAGGTAGGGTACATTTATTCACGGGAATGTGTACTGGCTCACACTAACATCTGTTTCCAGCACCTCTGGCACTATTTCTCCTCTACATTAGAGGAGGAAGGGGGGGATTGTCTAGGAGTATTTACATTTCATATGAATGAGTCTCATCCTCACAATGAGAAACTTGGATGTTTCCCCCCTAAGGTTCATGGTATTCCAATGAAAAATCCCAGGTTTCCTATAGGAACCAGACGCATTTTTCCCCCTGAAACACAAATGCTTGTCCAAAACCCATATACGAGAGAGCTCTTGCTTGACTTTCTTTTGAGGCATTCTCTGTGTCCCGTGTCATCCCAACTCATTCATCGGTGGCCCTTTCTCATGTTGAACAGTTAGATATTTTTTCCACTTCAGCTGGTGAGTCCATTTCAAGACCACTTCACCATGAAGACATGTTTTCTGGATTAGAATGAAATAGAGATTGAATCTTTTTATTCCCCTTTGATTAGAAAATTGCTCTTGGCAGCTTGCTTCTTTCAGAGCTCATTTAAACGTCTTCCATCCAAGTCCACATTCTCACATGCAATTAATTCTTTTATTTGGCTCCATAATTGCTTTCATTCCACACAATAAACCTCCCAGGGGAATCCTCTAGTCCTTGAATGATCTCAAAGACAACACAGGTCAGAGGCCAAGAAGGTCTTTCCTCTCTAGCTGGGGAATTGGTGAAGCAAAGGGGAGGGGTGAGACGCCAGCTCTTGCGGGTATAAGGAAAGAAACTCACTGGGAAGGCTGTAGTAAGCCAAGGTATGAGTTACCATGTGAGAACCTTCTATTTTATGTAAGGATCTTCTAGGTTGGCCTGAATGAAGATGGTATGTGCATGGGCAGGGAACTCCCGAGCTGGCTCTCTTGCTTTCTGGCCCCAAATACAGAAGACAAGGCAGTCCTCAAATGTCTGGGAGGGAGTTATTTGTGGTGCTGTCCTTCCTCTAGAGATGGTGCCTACTTTCGAAAGTCATGTTTTTCGAGGATCTACATCCTTCTGTATATTTCCAAGTCTGCAGACATCCTCCAGCAGTCTGACTCCATTGAATCTCCCAAATCTGGCTCTGATTTGTTCATTTTGAAGGTAAATCTGGGTGGGTGAATCTAGGATTCTGGTTATGAGGCTAGCAACCCTAGTAGCAGGCTGCAAACTACTCTGAGAAGAAACCCCTAGAAAAAGACACAGAGAGTCCTTCAAAGAACGGGTCCACTCTTCCTCTAGTTGCGGGTTTCAGCACATGTCACAATGCCTATCTTGGCAGTGACAGTCTTATTCTACTCTTCCCTCCCCAATTCCCCCACGCTATACTTTACATGTAACACAAGAACTTTATACCAATATAATGAGCTCTCCAGTGACATATAAATGTACCTGTCTAACCCCGTGTCTAGCTATCAATCCAGCACTGCATCTGTCTGGCAGGATATTGATCTACCTACTGACCTGCCCACCCCTGTGGTGACAGTGAATTTTTCCATCTAGCTTTCTGCAAAAATCTCTTTGACAAATAACCAATCTTCTATCTTTGGGTTTCCCACAGTCCCACAGAGGCAATCTGTATATATCTGTTCATTGATTCATTCACATGCCTTTAAGTTAATTCTAATCTAGTTACTTGGTCTGGCAGTAATTCCTACCTTTTTCTATTTTTGTTGTGATCATTCCTTTCAATTCAAATTAAGTTAATTTCTTTGGAGAACAAGAAGTCTCCAACTTAAAAGTCCACAGTGATTCTGATCACTTGTTTATGTGACCCCTTCTTTCTTTATTTATTTTGAGATAAGGTCTTGTTCTGTTGCCCAAGCTGGAATGCAGTGCCAGGATTATAGCTCATTGCAGCCTCAAATACCTGGACTCAAATGATCCTCCTGCCTCAGCCTCCTGAGTACTTGGGACCCTAGGTGCCCACCACCATGCCCAGCTAATTTTTTTTAGATTTGTGTTTTATTTTAAACATATGTGGTACAATTCAGAATTAGGTATACAAGTGGACATTGTACAGGTAAGGTTTGGGCCTCCCTTTGGTCCCCACTTTGCCTGGTTTGAGATCAGATACCCGTATTGATGTTGTGTCCCTGCCTACCCCCGGCAGTGTCCCACTACTGCCAATCCCTTTCTTACAGTATTATGGTAGATGTTCAGGGTCTACTTGTGAGTGAGAACATGTGGTACTCTGTTCTTTGTTTCTGTGATAGATCACTGAGTATGACTGACTCTAAATCCATCTATATTGCTATGAAGTTCATATGTTTGTCCTTCTTTATGGCTGTGTAATATTCCATTGTGTACATTTTTTTATCCAAGTCCAGTTTCGATGGGCAGCACAGTTGGTTCCATGTTTTTGCTATTGTGAATAGGGCTGAAATAAACACTCGTGTGCAGGTATCTTTTTTTGTAGAATGATTTGAGTTCCTCCAGGTATATTCCCAGTAGAGGGGATTACTAGGTCAGATGGAAGGTCAATTTCTAGCTCTTTTAGAAATTACCACACTGTTTTCCATAAAGGTTAGTTTGCATTCCACAAGCAATGTTAAAACATTCCCTTTTCTCGGTATCCTCCCCAGCATCTGTTGTTGTTTGTTTTATTAATGATGGCCATTCTTACTGGGATTAGGTGGTATCTCAGTGTGGTTTTGATTTGCATTTCTCTGATGATGAGTAAGGCTGAGCACTTTTTCATGTGTCTGTTGGCTGCCTGTATATCTTCTTTTGAGAAGTGTCTATTCATGTCTTTTGCCCACTTTTTAATGGGGCTCCCTCCCCTCCTTTGGCATGTCTGAGTTCCTTGTAGATCCTGAATGTTAGGCCTTTGTCAGATATACAGTTGGCAAATATTTTTTTCCCATTCTGTGAGCCATCTCCCTGCTCTCTTGATGGTTTGTTTTGCTCTGCAGAAGCTTTTCAGTTTAATGAGGTCCCACTTGTCTATCTTATCTCTTATGGCATGAACATCTGGGGTTTTGATCAGGAATTGACTGCCTACTATAATTTCTGTAAGGGTGTCTCCTGTGTTTTCTAAGATTCTTATAGTTTGAGGCTTTACGTTTAGGTCTTTGCAATGAAAACTACAAAACACTGCTCAAAGAAATCTAATAAGACACAAACAAATGAAAAAATATTCCGTGCTCATGGATAGGAAGAATCAACATTGTTAAGATGTCCATCTACTAAAGACAATCTACAGATTCAATGCAATACCCATTAAATTACCAACATCATTCTTCTCAGAACCTGGAAACAACAATACAGAAATTCATATGGAAACATAACTGATCACAAATAGCCAAAACAATCCTTAGCAAAAAAAACAAAGCTGGAGGTATCACACTTCCAGACTTTAAACTTTACTATATGGCTACAATAATCAAAACAACCTGCTATTGATACATGAACAGGCATATGGACCAATGGAACAGGACAGAGATTCTGGAAACAATACCTCAATTTCTTAACCAACTCATCTTTGACAAAGCTTCCACCAGCAACCATTGGGGAGAGGAGAACCTACTTGATAAATCATGCTAGGAAAACTGGCTGACCACATGCAGAAGATTAAAAAGGACCCCTTCCTATCACCACACACAAAAATCAACTCGAAATGGAACAAAGACCAGCTAATTTTTAAATAAAATTTTTTGTAGAGAGGGCATCTCACTCTGTTGCCCAGGCTTGTCTCAAACTCCTGGACTCAAGTGGTTCTCTCACCTTAGCCTCTCAAAGTGCTGGGATTACAGGCGTGAGCCACTGTGCCTGGCCAGAACTTCAAGTAAAGAGAACCAATGACAGATGATCTAGATATTCAGATGGACTCAACAAACTCTCAGTTCCAGGAATAGGAAGAGAGGTGGGGAGGGGAGAGACATGGAATACAAAAAGGGTGGAATATTGAACAAATATTGGGAGAGCACAGTGCTCGCCGGGTCAGACGAGAACAGGTTGTTGGCATGCTCTGGCATCCTTAGGAGAAGCCGGTAGTGCAGCCAGTGCCCTCGCCAGGACCCTGAGCTCGGCAGGGCAGCTCGGAAGAAACATATCTGCTCTCTGTCTTTTGCCACCAGGCATGCTGATCATGTTTGCCTATCCACCCAGGAAAATTAAAACCAGGACTGGAGATTTCCGGTGGATTTAAATCCTCATCAAGAGCTGCTAAATGAAAAACTTACAGATGGAAAGATGTAGGAAAAGGCACTCTTCCTTGTCCTCTTGAGCTCTGTAAGATGTTCTGCTTCTTAAGTGACCTTGTCCTTCGATTGGCTTGGCAAGTATGTTAAAAGCATAAAGAAATTTAAACGGAATCACACCCCTTGGTATGCATATGGGGGGGTGGAGCCATGGAGGCAAGAGTTGGAACAAAAAAGCCTAAATTCCTTCCCAGGCTTTAGGAGAAGAAGGAAGACCCCATGCATGAAATCAGTTCCCTGGGAGAAGACCGAGAACACAAGGTTGGGGGTGATCCTTACCCTGTAGTCATAAAAAGGAAGCAAGAAGCCAAGGACACTGGAGTAACTTTTTTTCCCCTCACAAAAGAAAAATGTGGGAGTTGCCCTGGGTTTCTTGTTTAAGCCTCCCAGAAGGCAAATGTCTTTACTATCCACACCAGCCCTTCCTAAGCCCAGGGCACAGCCCAC